GGAAGAGGAACAACTGCAATAATCTGAACAATAAAGATTTAATTTTCAAAAAATAAAATAAAATAAAATCATTTTAAATTTATACTGAATGGTTTTAGTAAATTCACCAGTCACCAGAGGTAAACAAATGCACACGGCTGGGACGTGGCTTAGTGCACATCAGAAAGAACATCAACCCACTGGTGTTAAAACTGCTCGAGAAAGAGCATATGTTGGAGCAAAGACAGAGTCTTCAATAAATGGTGTTGGGAAAATTGGACAGGTACATGCAAAAAAATGAAACTAGCCCACCAACTTACACTATATACAAGAATAAACTCAAAATGGATAAAAGACTTAATGTAAGACGTGAAACCATAAAAGTCCTAGGAGAAACCATAGGCACCAAAATCTCAGACATCTCTTATAGCAATATGTTTACTGATACAACTCCTAGCACAATGGAAACTAAGGAGAAAATAAACAAACGGAACTACATTAAAATAAAAAGCTTCTGCACTGCAAAAGAAACCATCAACAGATTAACAAAAGAGCCCATTACATGGGAGGACATATTTGCCAATGATACATCTGATAAAGGGTTAATCTCCAAAATGTATAGGGAACTCATACAACTTAACAAAAGGAAGATAAACAATCCAATTGAAAAATGGGCAAAGGACCTAAATAGACACCTCTCCAAAGTGAGCATACAGAAAGCCAAGAGACATATAAAAAAACTAGAGGCCCGATGCACGAAATTCGTGCAAAAGTAGGCCTTCACAGCCCCTGCTGCCTCGGCCCTGGCTGCCTCGTGGCCCCCCACCCACTGGTTGTTACGAAAGGTCGTTCAGAAAGCTGTTCCACCATCCAGTCTAATTAGCATATTAGCTCTTTATTATATAGGATGCTCAAAGTCACTAATCATCAGAGAGATGCAGATCAAAATGACAATAAGATATCACCTCACATCTGTCAGAATAGCCATCATTAACAAATCAACAAACAACAAGTGTTGGTGAGGTTGTGGAGAAAAGGGAACCCTAGTACACTGCTGGTGGGAATGCAGACTGGTGCAGCCACTGTGGAGAACAGTACGGAATTTCCTCAAAAAATTAAACATGGAACTTCCATTTGACCCAGTGATCTCACTTTTAGAAATATATCCTAAGAAACCCGAAACACTCATCAGAAAGACTATATGCACCCCTATGTTCATAGCAGCGCAATTTACAATAGCTAAGATTTGGAAACAGCTTAAGTGCCCACCAGCAGATGAGTGAATAAAAAAACTTTGGTACATTTATACAATGGAATACTATGCAGCAATAAAAAAGAAAAAACTCTTACCATTTGCAACAGCATGGATGGATCTGAGCAAAATAAGCCAGTCAGAGAAAGATAAGTATCACATGATCTCACTCATCTGTGGACTCTAATGAACCAAATAAACTGATGATCAAAAATAGACCCAGAGCCTCGTCAGCGTGACTCAGTGGTTGAGCTTTGACCTATGAAGTGGCTCAGTGGTTGAGCATTGACCTTTGAACCAGGAGCTCAGGGTTTGATCCCCGGTCAGGGCACATGCCCAGGTGCGGGCTCAATCCCTGGTGTGGGGTATGCAGGAGGCAGCCAATTGATGATTCTCTCTCATCATTGATGTTTCTATCTCTCTCTCCCTCTCCCTTCCTCTCTGAAGTCAATAAAAATATATTTAAAAAAAATAGATCCAGAGACATAGAAGCATGAACAGACTATTGAAACTCAGAGTGAAGGCAGGGAAGGGTGGGTGGGAAGAGATCAACCAATGAACTTACATGCATATATGCATAACTAGTGAACACAGACAATGGGATGGTTAGGGCATGGGGGTGGGGGGAGAAAGGAGCAGGCTGGAAGAGGTTAATGGGGGGAAAAGGAGACCTATTTGTAATATTTTCAACAATAAAGATTAAAAAACACACACACAAATTGCTGCAGAAAGTCACGCCACAAAACAACAGAACCAACTTCCACACATGATGCAGTGTGATCACATGCTAATCATTCCCAGAACTTTGTAAGCAAATCTAGGTTAGAAGCAACTTTCTTTTTTTGTTGTTGTTAATCCTCACCCTAGAACAGGGGTGGGCAACCTTTTTGTGAGTGCGTGCCAAAACCAGCAAAATCTCTGACTCAAAATTCTTCTGCATGCCAACCCTAATTTTTTGAGAACATGTTACGCCTACTTGCT